TGCCCTGTTTTGCAGAGGTAGAGAATGGTGTTAGGGAGGTAAACAGCTTTCGAGGTCCCAGTGACTTCCGGGGGCAGTGCCGTGCAGATAGCAGAGCTCACTTTTTAAGAAAGGACAATTCTACTCACAGAGGAGCTGGGCCCCTGCCAGGAAGGCTGTGTGGCACCGCCCCACCCAAGATCAGTTGCAGGTTGAGGGGTTGTCGTCTGAGCCAGGTGAGACTCTCCCTGTGGTCTCGCACAAGTTCAGAGTTGCCTACTGCAGGGAGCCAAGAACTTGGCCCAGCCAAGGGCATCTATCAGGCATCAGTCCAGGATATCAGGACTCTGTTCCTAACCTTTCCCCCTACCCCCCCAACACAGGAGCAGCATCCCTGGCCAGAAGACGCCTCAGAAGTGTTATGACGGTTCTGAGTTTAGGAGGTGCACAGGTGCATAAGTGCTTGACCTTGGAGAACTGGCCCCTAGAGACCTCCATTTCCTAAAGACCTTCTCTGCTCACATTGGCTCATGGCCTGGGTAGCAGGGGAGGGAAGTGCCTCACTGCTGAACTTTCTGATCCTGTTTGGGGAAAGCTGAACATTGCCCAAGAAGTAGGGAAGGGTGAAGATGGTGTGAGACCCACTTTCCCAATAAGAATCTCATCAGCCTGATTCGTGTCTAGGCACTTCTCCCTGAGGCAGTTCCTGCAGATGTCAGCAACCAGTCCTGTTCCTGGAGAAGACAGCCTCTGTTGGAGTCTTATCATCTAACTACAAGAGATTTAGTAATGAAACACACCCTTTCCTATCCCTACTTGGGACTTAAAGGCATCACGTCCCTTTTATTGATACCATGAGGTCAGCTGGCAACGAGCTCCTCTCAAGTCTCAGACCACATCCTAATAGAATCAAATGACAATTTTTCTTGAAGTAATTTCACAAGCTTCTCTATGTAAAGAAAGAAAAAGGAGAAGAAATGAGTTTAGTTGTTTGGTTTCATAGGATTTTAGAAATATAGCTTGGAGCTACACAGATTGGCAAATGTTATTGGTAATAAGATAAGGGATGCTTTTTGGTAAGAAGGGAATTTCTGAGCCCAGGTGCACTGTTTAAAGAGCTATAGGTACCTTTCTGGTTTGTATGTTTATTTGCTTGCTGTTTGGGCTGAGAAGGAAAAAAGGGAGAAAGGTGAAAAAGCTAAACATGAATGGTTTTTACTAAATTGCAGTAGGAGATATCCCTGGAGATATACACCAGTTGGTTATTTTAACATGAATTTGGGAGTAAAAGTGTACTTAAAATTTTAGAAAATCTCTTCTTAAAATTGGGATAAAATGTTGCAGTTGGGGACAGGAAGATGGAAGTCTGGGGCTTGCTCATGGGCTAGGCATTTGTGTAGGTGTAATTCTCACAATGCTAACCTGTCTTCACATGGAAATACTTCAGATTAAAGACAGGCCTTCAAATCCTCCTATTTGCCAAGGTGCACTTAGGTGATAGCAAGGCCTAAGCAAACATTCAGCCTCTGTTGGCACTCCTAAGCACCCCCCACCACCAAAAAGAAAAAAAAGACAAAAACCCTCCTAGTGTGGAGTCATCTCATGTGTAGTCATGTGGTCTCAGCATTATCACGGAGGTTACTCAGTTATATTGGGAACTAGATTATGATGTCAGAAATATCCCTTTCAGAAAGGCTAAAAGTCAGGGTCCTGAGTATATATTGAGGAGAATTTCTACTTAACGTAAGAAACAGGGCAGCTTAGAAGAGGTACCTGCTTTCCAATAATTGCCTTTAGTGGGAGCAGAAAAGCCTCCTTACAGGAAGTTTTTAATTCATTTAGACTTCATTTTACTTTTTTGAAGAACAACAACAAAAAATTATTTCTGGAAGAGACTGCTGAGAAGATCCCCTTCCTTTGGCCAGAAGAGCAGAGAAGACTGTAAATCAAGGAAAAGGTGAAGTAATAAATTATGCGGGAACTTCGGTATTCCAAGTATATAAAGGCTATTTATTTTTCCTGTGTCTATATTTTCTCTTTTTGTGGAGGAGAGGAAATTCTAAAAATATTTGATAGATGTTTTGCCATTAACACCAGAAAAGTGTGTGGGGAAAAGAAAGGAGGGAGGGAAAGGGGGGGTCCATTTTTGTTTCATTAGTAGAAAAAGCAACATAAATTAAAGCAGCCTAATGATGGCAGTCTTTAATTTATAATGTTCTGAGAGTAAAATGAATTTATTTACAGCATAGGTGATTTAATATTGTCAATCTGATTTTTGTTTTAACCTTTTATCGGAGGAAGGATGATTTTTTAAAGCTCGGATAGTTTGAAATTTGGCTAAGTACCTTTGGGTTTTTTATCGTGGAAGCAAATGTTATCATTTTAATATTAAGCAACTTTCAAGTGTTAAAGGGTTCGTTTGTGATTTACTTTTTTTTTTTTTTAACGTATTTCCCTCTTTAGATCTAATGATTACATTAAGGCTCCTGTTTCTTTCTGGAAAGAACTTATTATAAATCAGAAAGCGTCAGAGGTTCAAAGGCTGACATTTCTGAGTGCTGATACTTTGTCTTTTCATGCCATGCAAACAGATCTAACATTTAGAAATTCCTAAACGAGGGAAATTGCGGAAATTCCCAGATTTTTTTTTTTTTTCCAGTCGGAGGAAGCCAAGTTTTTTAAGTATGGAGTTTGGAGTAATCAAATGAGGGAGAAAGGAGCCTGCGAGAAGGGGTGACTTCAACCCAAAGTAGGCAGCTCAAGTTAGCTGCAGTTAAGGAGCGGGAAAAGGGAGCCGAGATCCGCGAGGGTCGGGGAGAGGGCGCTATTTCACCCACCCTGGGTAAAATCTGTGGAGTATCAGCCAGGAAGCCAGGCTTGATAAAGGTCGGGTTCCCCCAAATCATCTCAAGTGTCCAAATTCTACTAGCCTTCTAGAGAGTATTAAAAACCTACCAGTGAGGTTGTCTATCTAGAAGACAAACATCCCTTGAATGGTTCTCAACTACCCGAGTTCATTTCAGAAAGATAGAGGAGCCCGCGGGGCGGGCGTTCACATCCGCTGCAATCCTTTCCTAGATGATACTGCCCAGTAATTCAGAGCAGTCTTTATTCCCCGCCCAATAGTTTGGGAAGAACCCCCTGCTTTCCCTTCTCTTCTCCGAGGCAGAGCAGCGCACAGCGATAGTTCCGCTTCATCTGCGGGCTGAAGCGACACGGATAGAGTCGTCCCAGAATATGTAACAGGGGACTGGGCGGGGGGTGGGGTGGGGTGGGGGCGACAGAGTAGGTTGTCCGGGAAAGGGTTGCTTAGGCTCTTGTCGGTGGGCGAAAGGGCCTTGTGCGCTCCCCAGGAGTGTAGGTCCACCTCGGCAATTCAAAGGAGGGTCTCCGTCATGTATGCGGGTTTTCTTGGACCAGCTCCAGATGTCCTCAGCTGTTCTGAGACAGCAAGAAACGCAATCTCGACCTGAAGTCTGAACCCTCTTTTACTCTTCTAAGCGAAGGATCTCCCCCGTCCTTGGCCGATGCTCCCCATTCAGCGGGTCCCAGGAAAGAGCCAGGGAGGAGGGTTCCCATCTCGCTCCCCGAGATCCCGGGCGGACTCAGGGCTCCTTAAAGCCACGGGCCAAAGGCCCGCGACCTCCCCGCCGAGTATTCCGGGCGCCCGCGCTCTGCGGCCCCGACTCCTTGGCCTCTTCCTTGCCCGCTCGCCCCCGGCGGCCTCGGGGCCCGCGCGTCCAGCCGGGCGCGGCTGCTGCGGCGCGCCGGGAGCCTTGACTGTTCCCGGCCGCCCGCACGCCCTCGGGGACCTCAGCTCGCAGATCCGCCGCGTAGTCTGCGGCCGGTCGGACCCAGCGGCAACCAGCAGATCCACCCACGCCCCCGGCCCCAGGACTGCGCGCGGCGGGACTGGCGCCCTGGGGTGGGGCTCGGCGGAGCTCGGGGCAGCGCCGAGGGCGGCGGAGCCGAAGGCGCGGGGAGCTCCGGGGCTCGCAGCACACTCCCAGCTCAGGGCTCCCCTCTGCTCGCTCGGGCAGCGCGGGGCCCGCTCGGGCCGCCCGTCGCCGCCCCCGCCCCCCGCGCGTCCGCGCCCTCGCTCGCCCCGCGCGCGTTCCAAGGGCGCCACCTCTTTGCGACTAGCTCACTTCTCCGGCAGGTTTGCCTGGGAGCGTGTGAACATTCCTCTGCTAGGCTTTCAACTCGCCTCCAACCTGCGCCGCCCGGCCAGCATGCCTCCCCGCCCGTGAAGCGGGGCCGCCGCTGCCCTGCCGCTCGGGCCGCCGCCTCCCCTCCGCGCCGCTATTAACCCGCCCTCGTTGCCACCTGGCCCTCCTGATCGACGACACGCGCACTTGAAACTTGTTCTCAGGGTGTGTGGAATCAACTTTCCGGAAGCAACCAGCCCACCAGAGGAGGTAGACAGACAGCTATGTATATATATGTGGGTCTCTACAAGTGGCTCTGGAACAAGACGGCCTGGTTCGCAAAGACGCTGACTTCGGAGGGGGAAACTTTCTTCTCTTTTTAGGAAGGAGTTAGCTCTGCTCCACGAACCTAGCACTGCCGGCTAGATTAATTAGACATTGATAGGGAAGAGGTGTAAACACGCTGCGCATCATTGATGCATATATACAACCATTTCATTGTGGTTATTATTTCAGAGGAACGTCTCTGATTTATTTGTTGTTGTTGTTCTTTTTCTTCCCTTTTGGTGCCTTTTTGCCTGTGTGGTTTTGGAAAAAGCACAGTTCCCAGTAGCTGGTTCCTAAATAAGTAAGTGCTGAGAGGCTTCAGAGAAAGTTTTTTTTTTTTTTTTTTTTTTTTTTTTTTTTTTTTTTTTTTTCCTTTTCTTTTCTTTTCCTTTCTTTTTTCTTTGCAACTTGGGAGATGCCCTTGGTGTTGAAGAGATTGAGAAGAAGCTAAGGCGGGAGCGTGGTAGTACGGCGAGATGGAGATTCCGGACTGACACTTCGGGTCCCTTTCCACTCTGTTGCAGGTCCCGCGAGCGAGAGGATACGATGCTGCGGCGGCTGGTTCAGCAGTGGAGCGTAGCGGTGTTCCTGCTGAGCTACTCGGTGCCCTCCTGCGGGCGCTCGGTGGAGGAACTCGGCCGCCGGCTGTAAGTGCCCCGTCCTCCTCTGGGCGCCGGGTGAGGGCTGGGAAGGCCAGGGGGAGAGGCCACCAGGCTGGGGCGCTGCCGAGGGCTCGCAGCGGTCACTGATGCTTCTTGCCCGAGTTAAAAAGCAGGGAGATCCGGCTACCTACCTGCCGGGGGTTGAGACCGTGTCCTTGAAACCCCAGCGGGAAAACTGGTTGAACCTCAAGGGGCTACGGTCAAGAGACAAATTTGATACGAGTTTCCAAAAGAGGGAGCGCAGAGGCTCCTTTCGACAAAGATGATCTGCCTCTAGTGAAAAATAAAAGTTTATACTTTGAGGACCTGGGAAGGGTTTGAAACCCCGAGGATTACAGGAGACAGATAACTCGGAAGGAGCTGAGGGAGCCACGGTACACATGTCTGTGTGCGCTTGATTTACATGCTGAATGTGGGTGGCAGTTTGTGCGTGCAATGCAAAAGCCTTACATCTAACTTTATTATGAATGACATAATTTTAAGCATATAAAATGGACCACATTACATAATGAAGGCATATTATATAATAAAGTAGTAACAACTTTGCAATGGCACAACTCCAACATTAGTATTGATACAGTTCAGGGACGCTGGAGTGCTTGACTCCAAAATGAATATTAGGTGTGGAAACTTGTTTTTTCTTGGAATTATTGGTAACAGCTCTTTAATCTGCAGTCAAATATTTGCATTGTAGACTGAAAACTTGTGTTTTGGCATTCTCATCTGGTGGTTCTTTTGAGGATAATTTTGACTTTAACATAATCATACATCCAAGCACACCAGAGCAATATCACCATGTTGTATGACTGCAAAGTTGGAAGAACAGTAGAGTAACACTATCTTAATACAAATCTGTTGGACCTAGCAGTACGTTAATGTGTGTAATACCATGTTTGGGTGATCTTGAACCTGCAGACTCAGTATTCAGGATGGGAAAACCATAAAGTTTCAGAACTGAGAGGAGTTTGCCTCTGGAGAAGGAATTAAGGAGCTTTTACACTAACAATAAAAATAGCAATATCCAATATTTACAGTCAAGTTCATGGTGCTTCCTTGTAAATTCCCAACGGTGTACAAAAAGGCAACTGTTTTATATGTGCCCTTGGTCTATTACTATTAGAGCAGAAAATCCTTAAATGAAATTGCTTTAGACATGTCTGAACCTTGGCACCAAAATGAAAATCTATTATGAATCTCCTAAGGCAAACTGTGTAAAACATTGTACTAAAGATAAAGCTATATTGTATTCTTCAAATCAATGTTTTGCTGGTGTATTTCTGAAAATTGTCTTTAGACTTTTTGCTCCTTTTGAGACTTGTTTTAAATTATTTAAAATCCATGTATTAATAGAGATGAGGAGTGAATTTTTAAAAGCATGCTTAAATACTGGCCAAGAAATACTGTCTTGGAACAGAGCCAATTTTTTCTTTAAAGTTGCTTGAGAAATACCTGTTTTCTCTTTTGAGAAACAGTAAATGGACCATAAGTAAATCCACAGTTATGACATAAAAATAGTGCTAAGTTGTCCTAAAGGCTATTTTTAACTCTTTCTTTGTTGCACCTTGCAAAATACACATCAGAAACCATTTACCAGCCAGAGACTCTGTTATAGTTTTGTTTGTGGGTGAAATATAATATTGTAGTTAAACACTCACACTCAGCAGATGGTTATAAAACTACCACAAAACATTCTTATAGTTAATGGCTAATAGATCATCAAATTACAGCCATGGTTTTTCATGAAGGCTGAAATCATCAGTAGATGAAGATGTTCCATCAAATTATTGCAGCCAAAAGGAGTTAAAAAAAAAAAAAAACAAGTCATTATTTTTGCATTGGTGCCAAATAACAGTAAATTTTTTGTGCTAGACAAAACATTAGTCTACTATTACATTAAATCAACCTAATTTCTTGAAAGAAATGTTAACATATAATCAAATTGTATTACTCCCCATTACTCTTCATGCCAAATATTAAGGAAACTGCTTTAGCTGTTTTTTCTAATTAGGGACTAACTTTTGGAGGGCGGTGCAGGGGGTCGGGGGGACTACTATAACAATACCACTTCCTAAGCCCTGCAAAGGAAGCAATTATAAGTTGTCATAGTCCAAAGGATTTTAATTAATGGGACTGGAGTATGAATAAATTGGAAGTTGCAAAGTGAAGCCTCGAGATATTCTTGTCCAGATGATCATGGCTCTGGGCAGGTAGCAGCATTTGTGTCTAAGTTAGACAGGGAATCCCAGCAAATTCAGAAACCTAAAACATAATTGGCTGATTTGCTTGGGAGCCAGACTGGGTCTATTCCATTTAATGAAAAGCATAACTTTTGACTGAGTCATTTGGGTTGGAAGGGACTTGTGGTGAGTCATCCTCACTCTAAGGCCCGGACCCTGCCTCTTGCATGTACCACAGAACTTTTCTTCTCAAACCCAGACTCCTTCCTGAGTAGCTGAGCATCAGCACAAGCATATGCTGCTGCTTCTGTGTTGGGAGAGGCAATCCTATCCCTCCCTTTACTCCCTGTGTTCCTTGATAGCTCCTTGGACATTTACTCTTCTCTGAAAACTACCGAGAGTGATTTTTCTTGAAAGCAGAAGAGCTATATTTTGGCTGAATTTAGAGTTACCCGTGTTAAGCATTTCACCCATATTTCTGCAATTTTTTTTTACAATAATCAAAGAAGACCATAAACATACCATGTTAGGTGTGTAATAAATGCATGAGAACCACTGTGCTGTGGAATGTGTGCAGAGGTACAGAGTAATAGAATATTATTGAGGCCATATTTGCCACTTAAATATTTCAGAATTATCCAAATTGAAAGCCTGCTGAATGTGGATTCATTGTTCCCCACCTATGTGTATCTAGTTTGTACATGCTAGTCATTTACCCTTGTGTCAGTTCATGTCTTGTTTTGAAAATAAATAGAACGTTCTATGGATCTAATTTCTTGCTGATGATAAAGATACTATTATATTCCTGATCCTCGAGCACAGTTGCCCCATCAGAAATTCATTCTTGACAATGTTTTAAATGCAGAAGTCTTTGAACTGTTAATTGTGTTAACTCCATTTCAGATTTAGCACTTAAGAAAATCTGTGTTTTCTCAGTTTAGATTAACAAGTCCTCCTAAGAGGCAGAAAGAAACTTTGTAAGCCACAAGAGATATACTATTTTAAACTGGACAAAGTTGTGCCATCTTTGTAGGCTTTTTATAAAATAGAAGGATAGAATGATCACTCCTTTTCTCATGAGAACCATCCTGGGAAAGTGCAGTGCTTGGGTTAAGAAGGCACTGTGACTCACAGTTGACAGGCTGGCCAAGATGACAGACATACATGCCAGGCAGAGGGGGCATACACAGTGGTGGCCTGATTAGAACATACCAACCATTAAAAGTTTTGGCTTTGAGTTAAGCTAGAATGGGCTGTATTATACATTTGAAGAGCAATACAGATGCGGTGGTTATCTGCCAGGATTGAGAAAGAACTAAAAGCCCCTGATACTATAAGTGATCGTTGGTTAAGAACTTCTTTTACTGTGACATTTTGCTAAAAGATACTCATTAAACTGCAATACTTATAAAATATGCAGTTAAATCAGTCCCATTCTTTAAAAAATGTTATTAGAGAGTATAAATGTATTATACCAAAACCTCAAATTTGTATATTATTAAAAGTTTCCAGAATACTAACTGTGGCCATAAAGTAAGTGAATTTTAATCTAGTCACATGTGGCACCTTCAAAAAGGAAGAGAGACTCCTTCATGCCTCATTTAAACCAGGCTCCTGTTAAATTCCTTTCCATTAAGTCATGTCTTTTTTGAACAAGCTGCATGCCTTAAAGCCGGTCCACACTCTAAAATACTAAAAGGAAGCTGGTATTCTGGCTATAAGATCTAGAGAAATAATGCCTGTATTTTCATGTCTTACTCTTCTTTGACTCACAGTAGAACTAGAAAATCTCTCATTCCCCCTGTGGAAATCCAAACTTCTAGAAATCCTAGTTCTTTGTTTTGGTGATGAAAATGGACTTGTTAGAACAGTAAGGTTGATCTTCAAGGAAGCTGATAAATTGCTATCCATTTGCCCTTCATCATGGTTCTCACCACAGGCTTTTTTACTCCCTGCCCTTTGCTTCTTATTTCCTCAACATACACTTCTTCTTCCACAGAAGAAAGGACTGAGGAAGTTGAAAAGCAATCTTTGGTTTCAGAATCAGAGGACCTGGTTTTTGGATCCCTGGTTCTGTCTGTTCTCAGTTTGAGGGCAAGGGCAAGTCATTAGTTTCTCTGAACCTCAACTTCCCCATCTATAAAATGAAGACAATGCTATTTTTATTTGTTACATTTCTCTGAGGAGTTGAAGTTGTACTAATGAAGGCAGATGAGGGATCCAGATATTGTGTGTCAGAGAGGTAAGAATATATGGGGTATCGCCCTGTGAAGTACCCTCAGAAACTTGTAAATGAACCACTTTGAAGAGCTCTACAGTGGTAGAAATTGGAGTAAGGTGAGGTAGAGTTGAAGCACGCATGATATGACTGATTAATGTATGTGATCCCTACATATGGTCAATAATATACAGACAGGATAATACAAGAATATATGCATGGACAATTTAAGCAAGAGTCAGGATGTCATCTAAAAGGACTGATGGAAAATTAGTTTATTCTTTTCCACTATATTTTCATTAGAGTGTTGTTTAAACAGAAAAGTCACTTCATATTTGTTCATAGAGATTTTTTTAAGAAGGCTAAGTAGAAAAGTGAATTTTTTAATTAAGTACTAAGGATAATACCCTCTGAAATTCTAAATTAAAAAAAAAAACTCAATGTGGGGAAGAAATAGAAAGATCTTAATTTAAACACAAAGAAACCCATTTTAAAGAGACCACCCATTACTCTACAGAAAAATAGACATTCTCTCCCTGATACTTGGCTTTCAAATATAGGTTCTTGGCCACCTGTAATCTATTTTATGTTAAAATTCAGTCTGTTAGGTCGTTACCTAGACAGGCTTTACTGCTCATTTCATCTTCAGCCTTTGTTTGCCTTTATTCCTACAGCTTGCTGTTCTTTGAGAGTCAATATTATTATTTTCCTAATAGGGGAGCAGTGTGTGTGTGTGTGTGTGTGTGTGTGTGTGTGTGTGTGTGTGTGAGAGAGAGAGAGAGAGAGAGAGAGAGAGAGAGAGAGAGAGAGAACGAGAGAGCGAGAGAAAGAGAGAGCATGCACTTGTGCGCATGCATGCGTGTCCGGGTGAGTACTCAAGTAAATTCAGCCTCCTTTTCATTTCTAGTCTAGGACTTCTGGATTTATTTTCCCAAGACAAGTCTGAAAAACCTGAAAGGAATATCAGTGGTTTCTGTCCATTGCTGAGTATAACTGAATCATAACGTTTTAAGTTGAGAAGAATATAAAACTCTCTGAATCTGACCCCTTCCTTTTAAATGGAGAGAGGCCATGAGGCCAGAGAATGTCCGTGTTCTCACCAAAGTCACAGACCTAGAGTGGCATAAATGGGATCTGGGGCTGCAGCCCCCTAGCTGCCTGCACTTCCCTTCCCACTCTGCACTTCCCCTGCTTCACAAGCTGGCTGCACTTCCAGCTCATGCTCTGTATAGGACCAAACAGAAAACTAAAGGGCTTTCCTCTTGTCTTTGAGGTCTATACCAACAAACTAAAATTGTATCATTTTCTTCTTTCCTGCTATTTTTTTCTTAAAGCAAAAGAGCTGTGTCTGAACATCAGCTCCTTCATGACAAGGGGAAATCTATCCAAGACTTACGACGACGATTCTTCCTTCACCACCTGATTGCAGAAATCCACACAGCTGAAATCAGAGCTACCTCGGAGGTTTCCCCCAACTCCAAGCCTGCTCCCAACACAAAGAACCACCCAGTCCGATTTGGGTCTGACGATGAAGGCAGATACCTAACTCAGGAAACCAACAAGGTGGAGACATACAAAGAGCAGCCACTGAAGACACCCGGCAAGAAAAAGAAGGGTAAACCTGGAAAACGCAAGGAGCAGGAAAAAAAGAAACGGCGAACTCGGTCTGCCTGGCTAAACTCTGGTGTGGCTGGGAGTGGGCTAGATGGGGACCACCCATGTGACATCTCTGCGACATCGCTGGAGCTCAATTTACGGTAAATGGCTTCTGTGCCCCATAGCCTTTGCTCGGTGCTCTCCGCTGGGGTGTGTAACGTCCCTTCCACTGTGGCTTGGACAAACCTAGAATGTCCTCCCTTTCTGTCCTTCTATCAATTGCTCCACAATTTCAAAGCTTAATGAAAGCAAGATGGCTCAGAATATTGTCTGCTTTCATACAGTGTCCTCCTATGCCCTCTATACACACCAGCATTGAATAACCCATTTCTCTTCCTCCACCATCACACCCCAACGCCAATCCTTTACTTCTCCACTAAAGAATTTCTTTTTTTCGTCAGGCTTCAGAAGCTAGGGACCACCTTCATCATTTGCTGGAGGAGTGTATTTATTCCCCTACTCTCACACCTTGGCAAACTTTCTCGATTGTTTTTCATTTTTTACTTTTTTTTTTCACTTCAGGGGCAAACACAGAAGGCTTTGATATAATCTACAAATATGACTGAATAATACTGTAGCATAGACAATTCTGAGTCGGACACATTTTTCATTTCATTAAATTGAACCTTAAATTTATCTTTATTTAAATAAATGTTAAAAATTTAAACATACACTCTGAATTTATTTAATTTCCCTCTGGTTTCTACCAACACGTGAAAAAAAAAATCATGATTTCTGAAAATTTTTAAATGTTGACTTGGGAAGGACATAAGTTTTTCTCATGTATCTATTTATCCACTGGCAAGTTGAAATCATTTTCTAGAGTATTGCAGTAGAAATAATAAAACTTCACATTTACATGGCTTGTTCATCCTTGGCTCACAAATGCAGGTGGTAATGGCATTCATTGACTTTGGGGTCAAATACCTTAAGTTCAGATCTTGGCTCTGAACTTACTAAAGTTCACAACCTTGGGCAAACTACATGGTCTTTCTGAGACTCATTTTTCTCTTACGTGAAATGAAGACAATAACTGTAACAACCTCATAGGGTTGGCTGAAGATTAAATGAGATTACGTGGGTTAAATGCTTGTCTTAGTAAACAATAAAGTGCAACTTGTTGTTTTGGTGCTTTTAGATCTAGTGCTGATTGTTTATCTGGATATGTGTGTTTCTGTGAGGCAAAAAAGCAGCAAATATTAATCTCATTTTATAAACTAGAAAACCCAGGCATTCCATGGCTGAAGGACCTGAGTAGTCCTGAGAACTGGATTTCCCCATTTCTGGATTTTTAGGCCAGGACTATGTTAGTGTCACCTCTTGATTCAGATGTTTCCACCAACAGGATCTTTCTTGCCTTTTTACTTTTCAGTACAAGTCTTCTGTGGGCTTTGAAAGAAAGGGGAAACTATACAAGGATGTGTCATATGCAGCTAATGATCTCATTAATTAGAGTCCCATGTTACTTCTCCAGGCCTTTCCTCTTACTAGTAGAGATGGGATTACAGGGTGATGTTTCAGAGAGGAGTTTGAACTTGTTTACCATCACTTCTCTCTTTGAGTCAGGTTGACAAAACTCATCATTAAATAGCATAAAAAAGGATAACTATATCAGACAAATAGTACAGCTTCAGTAATTAATGAGTAATGACACTAGAGGAACCTTTAGCAGAGTGAATGACCTATTCTGCAAATATCTAATGGATCCATAATGTGTAACCGAACCTATGAATCTTGGCTCAAAGCACATATTTAATGTATTTTAAGAAAGGATCCTTATATTTATAGCTAATGCAAGGGCTTTTTTGCCAGAAGCTATTTTTACCGTTGTCTTACTCTGTGTGTGTGTACATGTATATATTAGAAAAACAAAAGTATAAATACTTTTTTTAAGGATTTCATTTATTTAAGATTTGAAGTATCTGGGAATTTAATGAAATTCGGCACTCATCAACTCTTATGCCCAAAGCTACCCCTCTCATAAAGGAGACTAGTAAAAATTAGGCAGCGGCCTAATCAAATCCAGACCTAGGACTGAAAGGAGGAGAACGTTTCTGCTTCTCCTTTCTGTTTCCCGGTTGTGAGGGACATTCATGGAAAGCACTGTTTGTTTGGCAGCCGGATCTTGGCACTCTCCCAGTACAACCCAACCGAGGTTCAGGGAAGATCGGGGAAATTTAGGAGTGTACTGGTGAGAATATACGGGGCCAGGCAAATGTTCTAATCCAAATAGAATCCTTTCAGAATAATTATTTTAAAGTTTCGTAAGCAACCAACCTTTTATGAGTGTCCTGTCTTTAGTCTCTTTACATTATTAGGCAATGACCTGAGAGGTCTGATGAACTGGCAAGCATGAGCTTTATTATAATATAAGTAGTATTTCTTAAGAGAAACTACTGTACTAAAACTGTCTGGCTCCTTGCATGTGAACCAGTGGGAAATACATAGTTTAAATGTTGGAAATTACATTTTGGAATTTTTGATGTTGCAAATGAGATGTCCAGATACAATAGGACTCGTTTAATTGAGACCATATATTTTTTTCTTGATAAATAGTGACTTAGAAATAATACAAAAGCTTTTCAATATTCAAAAAAACTCTAAAGTGTTGTCATACGCACAGACACACACTAAACATACACGTATACTTTCAGGTCATGTCTTATGTTTTACTTGGCTATCCCAATACGTGCTTTTATAGCAAGCCAACAGGATAGACAAGGAGAAATACAATTAAAAGATCTTTTCCTTGGTCTTTTTTTAAATAATTATTTTAACGTTTATTTTTGACAGAGAGAGAGCGTGCACATGCACGTGCACGAGTTGGGGAGGGGCAGAGAGAGAGAGAGGGAAACAGAGAATCTGAAGTAGGCTCCAGGCTCTGAGCTGTCAGCACAGAGCCCAACACGGGGCTTGAACTCACAAACCATGAGATCATGATCTAAGCCGAAGTCATATACGTAACTGATTGAGCCACCAGGTGCCCCTCCTTGGTCCTTAATGTATTCCTTTTCTCTTTCTTTCCTTCTGAGAACATAATTGTGGAAAATACTCTTCATTCCGTCCTTGCCTGTGTTATTCTTAAGTTCAACTCACTAGATACTGTTCAGTAAGAAAACATTTTAAAATTGGTACAGCACACAAATTATTGAGTTTTACAGTCACCTTTAAGATTGTATTCATAACATACATTCACATCCACCAGCCATTTAAAATTTAATCTTAAATTATTTTCTCTACAATTAGGAGCTATTTTACCATTCCAATCAAAACTATTGTTGAAGAGGTCAATTTTTTTTTAAGACATAAAAATACCCTCAATGCTCAACTTGCTTTTCTTTAAGCTGCAGGTAGAGTTCCTAGATTGTCAAGAATGGGCTCTCCTGTGGGTCTCACCCCCATATAGGTCTGCCATGTAAAACTCTGCCCACAATCTGGCTGCTAATGCAATGGCACAGCCAATCGAATTCAATTCTATAGGTGCTTCCTTAGAAACTACTATGTATTCAGTGAAATATACTACACAAAGAGAAAAGGAGAGAGAAAAGCAGAGAAAATGTTGCTAGTCCATCTTAAAATACTGTGACTACGGTGTTTTAGAAGGGGTTAAAAAAGGTGTCAGTCCCAAGTGGTAATTTATTCTGAGTAACAAACAGCTTGAGCTGAAATACTGCCGTTTTATGCTTTTATATCAATTGATTCTTATACTCTAAGTTAGGCTTTCCTGATTTCTAATTGTAGATCACTTCTAGAAACCAGCAGAATGAGAGCCAAATAATTCTTAGTTTTGACTTCACAGACTAAAATCCAAAAATAGTTTCATTCATTAGTATTTAAGGACAGCTAAAGGAATGACCGATAACATAAAATCATCAACCAAGCATACTGTTTAATTACACATCCTTTCAACATTTACTCCAAATCACACACTTTACTCTCTTAACAGTCATTATCTTAGCAAAAGATTGGCCAAATGGAAACCTAAACAGAATTAGTAACATTTGGGTCACCCTTGGCAGGCATCACTGGGGAATAAACTTCTAGCAAGGTGTATTTGATGATAGATTGTACAACCTAGCCTTATTTCCAAACTCTCAAATGTGTCCCTTCTCTTCCCAAACTTTCCAGTTGGCAGCTTTGGGAAATTCTCCTAGGGTCTCCTTTTTCAGACAAAGAATGTAGAATTAGAAATGCAAGCCCTTTCTCTTTCTGTACTATGTTGACCATTGGATGGTATTAAAGACCCCGCCTGTAGCAAAGATTCTGGAGAGTCAGATCCCACAGGTGCCTCCTATTGGGAATATTCATAAGAAATCCCTGGAATCTTTTCAATTGTGATTCTATGTTCCTTTATTTTTTATGCCTTTTTATTTGTCAAGGAGAAGTAACCTATTTTCTCTTCTTTCCCTTCCTTCTCTTTTCAGGAGGCATTGAAATCTTTAGCAAAGACATTCAGAGGACGTATTACAGGATTCTGTAATAGTGAACATATGGAAAGTATTAGAAATATTTATTGTCTGTAAATACTGTAAATGCATTGGAATAAAACTGTCTTCCCATTGCTCTATGAAACTGCACATTGGTCATTGTGAATATTTTTTTGCCAAGGCTAATCCAATTATTATTATCACATTTACCATAATTTATTTTGTCAACTGATGTATTTATTTTGTAAATGTATCTTGGTGCTGCTGAATTTCTATATTTTTTGTAACATAATGCACTTTAGATATACATATCAAGTATGTTGATAAATGACACAATAAAGTGTCTCTATTTTGTGGTTGATTTTAATAATGCCTAAATATAATTATCCAAACTGATTTTCCTCTGTGCATGTAAAAATAGCAGTATTTTAAATTTGTAAAGAATGTCTAATAAAATATAATCTAAATTACATCATGAGTCAGAAGGTGAATTATGTATATACCCTTTAAGATTTCTACTAGAAGGAACATGATGTAATTTTTTAAACTGTATTGAATATGGTCTTAAGTATAATATGTTTATATTGGTACATATTCCAATATTTTCACATTAGCTTTTAGTTTAAAAACCACCTAAAATGTGTTTTGTCCAGTATTTAAGTTCAATTCAATAGAATG